TGGGCCCGGGGCCTGGACGAATTTTTTCTATAGAAAAAATATGGGCCGGGGCCTGGACGAATTTTTTCTATAAAATTTTCTATAAATTTCTATAAAATTTGGGCCACAGGGGCCTCACGAATTTTTTCTATAGAAAAAATTTGAGCCCTCAAGACTTCACCAATTTTTTTTTCTATAGAAAAAACATGGGCCCCCGGGGCCTCACGAATTTTTTTCTATAGAAAAAAACTTAGGCCTCTAAGGCCTGGACGAATTTTTTTTTATAGAAAAAAACTTAGGCCTCTAAGGCCTGGACGAATTTTTTTCTATAGAAAAAAACTTAGGCCTCTAAGGCCTGGACGAATTTTTTTCTATAGAAAAAACTTGGGCCCCAGGGCCTCACGATTTTTTTTCTATAGAAAAACTTGGGCCCCTGGGCCAGTACGAATTTGTTGGGCCATTTGGCTAGTACGAATTTTTTTCTATAGAAAAAAAAAACTTGGACCCCGGAGCCTGGACGAATTTTTTTTCTGTTAAAAAAAACTCTGCTCCTGGGCCACAGGATTTTGTTGTATTTTTTTAAATTTTTCTAATTTTTTGTTTTCTCTCTTCTTCGCCCTCTCTTTCCAGGTACACAAATGGCTTCAACATCTACCGTTGTCACCATAATATCCGTTGTGATACTATTATATGCCACCACCATATTTATGACATTCTGGATGACGCGGCGCCACTATCGGCCTCCGGCACCAATTTTGAAAAATAACACACCCTCCCCGACATCATATGACTCGTATCCCAATCAGTATTCCAGTTTACCCACCAAAGATGTAAGTTTTTTCAGAATTTCGTTTTCTTGACCCGGAAATAATCTTGAATTTGTTGTCTCTTTTTTAGATCTACGATGTACGACCGAAAGTGAAACGACAATCCAGCTTCAATATGTGCTCTTCGCCCACATCGAAAAATTTCAATGCGGGCACCCTGAATCGCAACAACATCAATCACAATCACACGCCCAAAGTGCTGGCCAAGAGCTTCAACGACTGTGAAACAGGGACACTGAAAAGGACATCGAACGCCCTGAATAATTATCGATCGAATATTGATGATGAAAAGTTTTGAAAGGCAGTCAAAATGGACTCGAAGTCCCAATGAAATATTGGAAGCTAAGGAATTCCATTGCCAAAGGGGAAACCAAAAAACAGGAGAAGAAGCAGATCAAGACATGTTTTGGTAAAGGCATTGATTTTGGGCCAAACCAAAATTTCAAGGGCGAATATAAGCATTTAAGGCAGCCAAAAACATTGTTCAAAAATGTTGGAACTGAAAATAGCTAAGCTCCAATTTAAATTTTTTTCTCCTCCAATTCCTTCTTCTTCTCCCCTTCCTCTTGCTTTGGAAAACTGCATTTTTTGTAGCCACCAGATGAGCTATCCACTAAGAAAATGAGAGTATCATACTGTGCCATTATTTAAGCCAGCTTAATTAAGTTAATTTAATTTAAAAATTTCCTTGAATTGTATTATTGTTTAGAATTTAAGAATATTGACTCATATTGAGTCCCGGATTTTTGTTTAGCATAATTTGTAATCGTCTTGTAAGTTTGTAGTCTATTTATAAATATAAGATTTATTTTTGTATATAGAATAATTGTATTTTATATTTAGATTTGATACAGCCTTATAGTCATTAAGATAAACTCAACTCCAAAATTAACGAAAATATGATTAACAAGCTAGTTAACAACAATAAATTAAAAGAATTAATTGGAAATTTTATTTCAAATTGGTTTTAATGTTAGAGAAAAGGAAAAATTGTATAAAAAATGCTATAAAATATTCTAAAGGAGTTTGAGGTACCCTTTAAATATTTTAAAAAATCCACGTCTAAGAAACCTTTGTTACTCCATGAAATATTCTTGGGAAATCTACATCCAAGGAGCGTTAGGTACCCCTTGAATATTGTTACCAAATCCACGTTCAAGGAGCCATAGGTATCCTTCAAAATATATTAAATTAAAAATTCACGTCCAAGGAGCCCTAGGTACTATTTTAAATATCTTAAATTAATATTACATGCTCTAAGGGCTAGATAGCCTTGAAATATTCTTAAACAACACACGGCTACAGATACAGATAGTTACCCCCAAAATACTCTTAAAAATCCAAGTCTTGGATCCTATTAAAATATTTTTAAAATACTCTTGAAATATTCTTCAAATACCACCTTATTTACACCTAACTTTACTCTTGGTGCCTTTTAAAACAATGTTCCAAAATCCAACTTTATGGAGCCCTAGCTACCCCTTAAGATATTCCAAATAAAGACACGTTTAGAGAGCCGTAGCCAACCTTGATTCTCATACCTAATTTCAAGAATTAAGCTCAATCCGTCCCAAATTTTACCATTTAGGATGATTGGTATCATTTTAGAACTTTTTGTAACTTTAAATTTCGATATTCCAAAAGTCCTTTGGCACATTTATCCTGCACTCCATCAGTGACTCTTATTCCAAATTTCAGAACATTCCGTTTTCCCAATACAAGGTATTCCATTTTTTGTATATTTAGACTGATTCTAGATCAGTCAGTCATTTATTTCATTACACTTCCATAAATAAAGATAGAAGATATCAAATACCAACTTTCAAAATATTCTTTAAACATTTACATTTACGGAACTTAGCCAAGCCTTGAAATATTCTGAAATATCCGCGTTTAGGTAGCTTTGGAAAGGTTTTGAAATATAAAAAAACGCACTTTTCGGAATTCTTAGCCTAGATTTGTTTCGAAGCTTTTAAAATATTCCTAAAAATCCACATTTCGAGGGTCATGAAGTATTCTTAAACATAATATTTTTTTAATCCATATTTAGTAAAGTAAAAAATCTGTAAGTTCGGCCGGGCCGAACTTTGAATACCCTCCACCATTTGGAACAAATTTAGCAATTTCCAAAATAAAAAAATAAAATCCGTCAAATCTTAAAAACACCGAAAGTAACCGTTATATTAGGGTCTAAACGACGATGTGGACCTGCATAGGCAACTTTTGACATAAGCCACTACAATATTCAAGTGCGAAACTTGAAAAAAATCGGTGAATGATGTAGCTAAAATCATCAATATAGGGAGGTACTATTTCCAAAATGTGGACCTGCACAAACAAATTTCTTATATAGGCTGCAGTATACATTTCCAACTTCAAATACCAAATTTGAAACATTTCCTGTGGGTAATATTGCTAAAATCACCAAAATACCGAATATAGGGAGGTACCGTTATATGGGGCTATACGAAGACGTGGACCTACATGGCCCATTTTCCATACCAAAAATCCAGCAGATATTATATACATTTGAGTAAAATTTTATCAATCTACTTCGTTTCGTTCGGAAGCTAGAGTGATTCCCACAGGCGGATAGACGGACCGACATCGCTAAATCGACATATAATTTTATGCTGATCAAGAATATATATACTTTGGGATCTAAAATGTAAATTTCGAGGTGTTACAAATGAAATGACAAACTTAATATACCCTCTATACAAATATACCCTCTATACTATGGTGGAGGGTATAAAAAGTCCAAATCAAGGGGTCCACAAGGTATTAATCAAAATCAATGGCTAGAGGGACACGAAATATTCTTAAAAAGTACACATATATAGGGTCACAAAGTATTTTCTTAAAAAACCTACGTCTAGGGAGCCAAGAAATAATCTTAAAAAACTTATCTTTAGGGGATCACCAAATATTCTTAAAAAAAAACACATCTAGGGGGTCACGAAATATTTTGTAAACATCCAAGGCTAGGAGGCCGCGAAATTTTCTTAAAAGAATCAAATATAGGGGCCACAAAGTCACCAAATATTTTTAAAAAATTCGCATCTAGGGGGACATGAAATATTTTGAAAAATATTACATCTAGAAGGCCACGAAGGGCCACATCTAGGGGCCAAGAGAAAATACTGAAAAACCTAGACCTGGGTCCTAAGGCCAGGAAATAATCTTAAAAACCTAGGTATAGGGGGTCACAAGATCCTAAAAAATTTACGTCTGGGAAACCACGAAATATTCCTAAAAATTCAGGTTTAAGGTTCTCGATATTCGCTCAAAAACTCACAATGTATAGGGTCCTAATTTTCTCTTAATAATCTTCATATAGGAAGAATCGAAATATTCTAAAAAATGGATTCTAAAAAGATTTTAGGATTAAAAAAAAATAATCTTTAAAAAATCACGTCAGGGTAGCTAGGAAATTGTTCTAAGAAATCAGTTTATGGAGTCTCGATATTCTCCCAAAAATTCACGATTTAGTGGGCCTTAATATTGTTTTAAAAATCTATATTTAGGAAAATTCGAGATATTCTAAAAAATCTAATTTCAAAGGGCTTCTTCGTAGAGAATCAAAGGATTTTTAGGTTGGCTTAGTTCGATTTTGGCCCTAGGCTCCTTTGTTCATTTCCGAAGAAGCCAGCCAAATAAGCGATTTATGTATTCTCACTTTAAAAAATAAAAAAAAAAATCCATTTTGTAAGGCTTGGAAATATTTAAAAAAAAAAACTGTATTTCAAAGCTCTGAAATTGCCATCAAAAATCAAATTTTAAAAAATTTTAAAATATTTCATTTCAAGGACTTAAAAAACCATGTTACATAGTCCTTAATATCTTAGTTGTATGGATCTTTTATACGCTCTGAAATTGTCTTGTCTGGGAATATTAGATACTCCTCAAAAATATATGAGCGTTTCTCAACATCAAGGCTGCATTTTTTTTATCTCTTCCTATTTTTAATACGCCTCAAGGTATGCAACACATTGTGAGCTACTCAATTTTTAAGAGCACACAGGGTGTTTCGAAAATAAAATAATCCAATGTCTTATTTCTAAATAATGTAGATGGCTCTGCATAAAAATGTGTATATCTTCAAAAATATAAAATGTGTCAGCAAAGATATGACATAAAATTTAATGCTAGGTCTTTGACCATAGACAGTAATTTTTATAAATACTTCAATCCTTCGTTAATCTTTGATTTATTATTAATTTTTCTACATGTTTTATACAGAAAATCACAGAGTTTCAATCACCAACCTCTAGCATCTCTCCGTCACATCGTATTGAGGATCACTGGCCGAACGTAACATTTGACCATATTTATCGGTGAATTGCTCAAATCCATGCTGGATGAACAATCTCATCATTTCTCTCTCTTCAGCCGTTGCAGTTCTCTTCATATAATTGCGGATGCTATTTCCAAAACTTTGCACAATACGATTAACCTTTTGAATGCATTTCTCCTCGTCTTTGTGTTCGGTGTAAATGTGCAGAACGCCATCCCAATCTTGTCTGAATTTACGATAGGCTGGACTAGAGGGCATGTCACGCAACACCGCCTCGATCATTGGCTTCATGTTGGCGGCCATCTCCTTCATGACCTGATAGGAATCCTTTTGCACGGCAGCCAAGGAGATCTGGGTATAGAAGTGAGTTTTAATATTTTTCGATGTTTTGGTTTATATTTTATTTTTTACTTATTCAATTTTTAATTCTTTATTTATTTTATTTTTTTTTTCTAATTAAATTTTTTATTTATTTTACTTTTATTATTTTTTTATTTTTTTTTAATTTTTTATTTATTTATTTATTTTTATTATTATTATTTTTTTTTTTTTTTGAAGACAATAAACTTACCCCAGCCATCAGACCCAAAATACAGATACTGTAGACAAATTTCATATTTTATTCCGAACGCTGTGTGTTGCTTTTGCCCAGAGTGTTTGAATTAAACTAGAATTGATTTGCTTCATTAGAATGTTGAAATATTTTGAAAATGATAGCGTTTGTTTTGATGTCAAAGGTCAGTGTTATCAATTTTTTTACAGATTATACGAAGTCGATGTGTTCTAAGCCACAGATGGGCAATCAAACAGCCAAAACAAACACATAGGCCTAGGTAACTTTTTACGCCTGCGGATTGAGGTCCAAAATATGTAATTCAGATTATGAAAGTAGAGCTTAAAAAAGAAGATAAATTTTGTGGTGTTTTGAAAGTTTATATCGCAAAAGTAACCTAAATAGAGGGGACAAGTTCCGCCCTCTTCAACACTTTTGGAAATTTTCTGATAAGGATTCCTCGGAATCCGTATAATTTAGGTATATAGTGTCTTCGACAATATTGCAGATAAAAATACGAGGAATGTTTTGGTCGAAAATGTTAACCCTCAAGCCAGTCAACAAAGGGGTCTTTTTGGCCCTTTTTTAAAAATATGCTTAATATCTCCCTTTAAACGGGATCGTAGCAAGTCAAAATATTCCACAAAATTATTTGCCACAAAATTCTACGATAGGCTCTAGAAGACGTTATGAGTCTAAAACTTACATAAGCGCATCCTGAGTGTGATAGTGCTGAGTCCTGTTGAAATGTCCAAGGTCTGCGGCCAAAATATTTGCGAATATTTTCGCGATAATATTCGGCATTATTCTGATGCCACGGTCGATTAATGTGAGCGGAGAGCGACCATCGGCTGTTATGGCGGCCTACACCATCACTAGGGCCAGCGCTTGAGTTCTGGTGGCCAACCGAAGGTGTACATATTCAGCTGACCTCTTTGGCAAGTAAACACGATCATTTTGTTTGTTTGCAAACTGCAGGACAACGAATGTTTTCTCATCGGGGAAAACCAAATTCGGCAGTTCACCACTTTCGGCCAAGCGAAGCAACTCTTTAGCTCTTTTGAGAGCTAATTGGTTTTTATTTTTATTATTATTTTTTTAATTTAATTTTTTATTAATTTTATTTTTATTATTTAATGTTTATTTTATTTATTTATATATTTTTTATTTATTTTTATAATTTTATTTTTATTTTATTATTTTTTTTTTTTTTTTGAAGACAATAAATCTTACCCCAGCCAGCAGACCCAAAATACAGATGCCGTAGACAAATTTCACGTTTCCACGTTTTTTTATAGCCCCCATATAATGGTACCTCCCAATATTCGAAATTTAATGATTTTAGCGACATTATTCACCGGAATTGTTTCAAATTTGGTATTTGAAGTTTTTAATGGATACTACAGCCTATGACAGAAAATTATCAATTCAGTTCCATGTCTTCATATAGCCCCTAAATATCGGTACCTCCCGATTTGCGGTATTTTGGTGATTTTAGCGACATTATTCACCGGAATCGTTTCATATTTCGTGATGGAATTTCCTAATAGGCACTACATCCTAAGACAGAAAATTGTCTATGCAGGTCCACGTCTTCGTATAGCCCCCATATAACGGTACCTTCCGATATTCGGTACTTTAATGATTTTAGCGACATTATTCACCGGAATTGTTTCAAATTTGGTATTTGAAGTTCGTAATGGGTACTACAGCATGTGATAGGCAATTGCAGATACACGTCTTCGTGTAGACCCCAAAATAACTGTAACTCCCTATGTATGACACTTTTAAGATTTTAACAGAATTTAAAACGAATTCTATTTTTTATTTATTTATTTATTTTTTTTTTTTTTTTGAAAATCTTCACTTTTTTTCTAAATGATGGAGTGTATTCAAAGTTCGGCCGAACGAACTTGCTTCTCCTCCACTTGTTTTTTTTTAATTTATTTATTTTATTTATTTATTATTTTTTTTTGTCAACCCTCAGCACACTTCTTGGCCATCAAAAACACTGTCCGGAATTTTGAGATCTTGAAAAATTGGCAGAAATTTCCCACTAAACTCCTCTAGGCCATGGTTTTGGAAGACATTATTCACCGGAATTGTTTCAAATTTGGTATTTGAAGTTCGTAATGGGTACTACAGCATGTGATAGGCAATTGCAGATACACGTCTTCGTGTAGACCCCAAAATAACTGTAACTCCCTATGTATGACACTTTTAAGATTTTAACAGAATTTAAAACGAATTCTATTTTTTATTTATTTATTTATTTTTTTTTTTTTTTTTTTGAAAATCTTCACTTTTTTTCTAAATGATGGAGGGTATTCAAAGTTCGGCCGAACGAACTTGCTTCTCCTCCACTTGTTTTTTTTTTAATTTATTTATTTTATTTATTTATTATTTTTTTTTGTCAACCCTCAGCACACTTCTTGGCCATCAAAAACACTGTCCGGAATTTTGAGATCTTGAAAAATTGGCAGAAATTTCCCACTAAACTCCTCTAGGCCATGGTTTTGGAAGAGTTTCTCCATTGTTTCAGCTTCCTGTGTGACATGACCTTGCTTCAATTCATCAATGAAATCGGCAAATGGTTCCAATATTTCCAAAAGTTTTTCCACACATTCATCGCCGACTTTTTCTCCCTGGAATTTTTGCAGAAAATGTTCCCATCTCATTTTGTGTTTAAGGAAATTTTCTTCCTCGGGTATGTCGCGCAGCACAGCTTCGATCATAGGCCGTAGATCGGCTGCAAATGCCGACATTGTGTGATAAAATTCATAGGCTTCATTGATCTGCTGATCATTTGGGGGTAAGGGAGCACAGGATAAAAGCTATGATAATGGAAAAAATTTAAATTTGGGTTTTCTACTCCTTTTCAAAATATACCTTGGTCTCAAGCAGTATGGAGCAAATTACTAAAAATATTTTCATTGTCTTTTTCAAATACTGTTGATGCTGTTGAAGGTATGTTGGCAACTGATTTGGATTTTTAGTTTTCCGTTCGGCGAGAATTAAGAAAACTTAAAACTTCTAAAGCTAATCTTTTCTATTTAGTTGATATGGATTTGAAATTTTATTTTCAAATATAATCAATGACCTAGTTTGCTAATAATTCACGGTCAATGTTCTATGTTTGTTTCTGAGGGGAGAATAATTGAAAAAGCCTGACTGAAAATATTGAAAAAAAAAAAAATAATAAATTGAAGTTTGGAGATTGAAAGTTCTTTCTTTACATGAACTTAAAAAATGAAGCTTGGAGGTCGTATGACCCTTCTAAAAATCGTTATTTAAAGGTGGGATAGCCCTCCGGAAAAAAATTTAAAATTCTACGATTGGAGGTTACAAGTTATTTTTAAAAATATTTAAAGCAAGTAAAAAAGCTGTAAGTTGGACCGGGCCAAACTTTGAATACCCTCCACCATTTGGTACAAATTTGACAATTTTCAAAAAAATAAAATCCGTTAAAAATTCTGTTAAAATCTTAAAAATACCGAATGTAGCCGTTATATTAAGGTCTATACGACGACGTGGACCTGCATAGGCAACTTTTGCCATAAACCACTACAAAATATTCAAATGCGAAACTTGAAAAAAAAATCGGTGAATAATATCGATAAAATCATGAAAATTCCGAATATAAGGAGGTACCGTTATATGGGGGCTATACGAAGACGTGGACTTGCACAGACAATTTTCTGCCATAGGCAGTAGCATCCGTTACGCACTTTAAATACCAAATTTGAAACAATTTAGGTGAATAATGTCGCTTAAATCACCAAAATACCGAAAAAGGGAGGTACCATTATATGGGGGCTATATGAAGACATGGACTTGCACAGACAATTTTCTGTCATAGGCTGTAGCAGCCATTACGAACTTCAAATACCAAATTTGAAACAATGCCGGTGAATAATGTCGTTAAAATCATCAAAGTACCGAATATCGGGAGGTACCGTTATATGGGGGCTATACACAGACCTGGACCTGCACAGACTATTTTCTGTCATAGGCTGTATTAGCCATTACGAACTTTAAATACAAAATTAGAAACATTTCCGGTGAATAATGTCGCCAAAATCATCAAAATTCCGAATATCGGCTGGTACCGTTATATGGGAGCTATGCGAAGACGTGAACCTGCACAGACAATTTTCTGTCATAGTCTGTAGCATCCGTTGCGAACTTCAAATACTAAATTTGAAACAATTTCGGTTAATAATGTCGCCAAAATCATCAAAATACCGAATATCGGGAGTACCGTAACATGGGGGCTATACGAAGACTTGGACCTGCACAGACAATTTTCTGTCATAGGCTGTAGTATCGATTACGAACTTCAAATAACAAATTTGAAACATCTCCGGTGAATAATGTCGCTTAAATCACCAAAATACCGAATATCGGGGGGTACCGTGATATTGGGGCTATACCAAAACGTGGATCTGCACAGACAATTTTCTGTCATAGGCTGTAGTACCCATTACGAACTTCAAATACGAAATTTGAAACAATTCCGGTGAATAATGCCACTAAAATCACCAAAATACCGAAAATCGGGAGGTACCGTTATATAGGGGCCATATGAAGACGTGGACCTGCACAGACAATTTTCTGTCGTAGGCTGTAGCATCCGTGGCGAACTTCAAATACCATATTTGAAACATTTCCGGTGAATAATGTCCCTAAAATCATCAAAATACCGAATATCGGGGAGTACCGTAATATGGCGGCTATACGAAGACTTGGACCTGCACAGACAATTTTCTGTCATAGGCTGTAGTATCTATTACGAACTTCAAATAATAAATTTGAAACATCTCCGGTGAATAATGTCGCTTAAATCACCAAAATACCGAATATCGGTTGCTACCGTTAATGGGAGCTATATGAAGACTTGGACCTGCACAGACAATTTTCTGTCATAGACTGTAGCATCCGTTACGAACTTCGAATACCAAATTTGAAACAATACCGGTAATTAATGTCGCTAAAATTATCAAAATTCCAAATTTAGAGATGTACCGTTATATTGGGGTTATACGAATACGTTGGCCTGTACAGACAATTTTCTGTCATAGGCTGTAGGACGAACTTCAAACACCAAATTTGAAACAATTCCGGTGAATAATGTCGCTTAAATCACCAAAATACCGAAAAAAGGGAGGTCCCGTTATATAGGGGCTATACCAAAACGTGGACCTACATCACCCATTTTCAATACGAGAAGTCCTGCAGATATAATACACATTTGAGTAAAATTTTATCAACCTACTTCATTTCGTTCGGAAGCTAGAGTGATTTCCACAGACGGACGGACATCGCTACATCGACATAGAATTTTATGCTGATCAAGAAGATATATACTTTGTGGGGTCTAAAATGTATATTTCGAGGTGTTACAAACGGAATGACAAACTTAATATACCCTCCATACTATGGTGGATGGTATAAAAAATTCAGTTAAGGAAATGAAAAGATGGGTCTTTTCAAACTTTCTCTTAAAAGTCCAAGAAGGAGCTAACCAAAAATTTTCCTAAAAAAATGAGGGCTGGGGACCCGTTAAAATAGTAAAATATTGAAAAATCACAATTTTATTTTCAATAATTTTTTGAAAAAAAAAAATCTCCCAATTTTTGAGCAGAAATTGATTCCTCGAACCTTTTTCCATCATCATTTCTCCTCTCCAAATTAAAATACAAATTTCCATTTGTTTATTTGTAATAAACTCCCATGTCTAAATATCAGACCATACTCTACACGGAAAATTATTGAAATCCTCAATATGTACACACATACTTAAAACTTCCAATTTTATGCTGTAATTATTTTCAAATAATACTTGATTTCTAATATTTGTTGCCTTTTCCCTTTCCTTACAGCGTAGAAGAAAATTTCCTCACTTGACAACAACATTGGCCATATGTTTTCCTTGAAATTGTTGTAAGGGTGAGTGCGGTGGCTGGCCTCCGTATTGGAGTCAAAGTCACATGAGGATTTTAGTGTCAATTTTGACATTTATGACTTGTCAAAAAGTGTTTATGTTTTTTTTTACTTTTTCGTTTTTCATTTTCCGTGGAAACAACCTGGCTCCTGCTCCGTATGAAATATCCATTTCAAACGACCTCAAATGTGTGTGAGTGCAGCACTACTTGAAACTCCAAAGAGTTGGACTATTCCTTGTAATTAAAATTGAACCCATTTCCAAAAGTCAAAGTGAATTTTATGGCAAGTTAATGTATCTCAAGATGTAGCAATAAAAACGGAAGATATTTGGAAAAAATCCCAAACTTTATTGTCCTACAGATGTTAGCTGAGGTTTGAAAATAAATTTTTGGTATGATTATTTCATTTTCAATTTTCACAATTTTATAGGCTGCTGAATTGTATCATTCATTGAAATAATGACATTTTATGCTTCCTCCTGAAAGTATGCTTCATACTTTGTCTTCAACATAATCTATTACAATTATAATATTAAATGAAATGCAATATGAATACTAATAGAGAAATACGACAATTAGAGCGTGAATATTTTAAAACAATTTTAAAAGGTTAATAAATTCTTTAGACTTGGATTTTTTGATATATTTTTAAAAGGACCAGACGTGGGTTTTTAAAAACATTTTGAAGACGGCGAATTTTAAAATACTTGTGGAGACGTGGAGTATAAAGAATATTTTTTGGGGACGTGGATTTTTAAGAATATTTTTGGAATCGTGGATTTTTAAGAATATTTTTTTTTTTTTTGAGACGTGCAGTTTTTTTGGAGACGTGAATTTTTAAGAATATTTTTTTAGATGTGGATTTTTAATAATATTTTTCGAGTCGTGGATTTTTAGAAATATTTTTGGAGACGTAAATTTTTAAGAATATCATTGGATACGTGGAATTTTTAAAATATTTTTGGAGACGTGGAGTTTTAAAATTATTTTTGGAAACGTGGATTTTTAGGAATATTTTTCGAGTCGTGGATTTTTAGAAATATATTTGGAGACATAGTTTTTTAAGAATTTTTTTTGGAGAAGTGGATTTTTAAGAATATTTTTCGAGTCGTGGATTTTTTGAAATATTTTTGGATTTGTAAGAATATTTTGGAGACTTTGGTTTTTAAAATTATTTGTGGAGACGTGGATTTTTAAGAAAAATTTGGGAGACTTGGACAAGATCAAAATGGAAGCCTATTGTTTTTGAAGAAGTTCGATATTTTGAGGATAAATTGGATCAAAAACAAAATTTATGCTGGTTTTGAAGCCACTCTTGAGTTTAAAATTACAGACAATCAACACGAAATTTTGTATTTGGTTAGAGTTTAGGACATTCAACCAAAATTTGATTTTTAGCTGAAAGTAAATTTCTTTTTTTAATTTGAATTTAAAGAAAATGTTTAATAGCATATCTTTTTTAAAGAAACGTTTTAGAATTTTTAAAAAATATATTTAAAAAAAAGTTATGCTGACCTCCAATCGTGCATTTGAAGATCTTTTAAGAAGGATAATCTCTACTTGAATCGGGTATTTCTTTAAAGATTAATTTTAAAAAAAATTATTTGCCTCGCAGTTTGTGCAGATTTTTCAACAAGAATTTTAATAGGATAATCTGACCTCTAATAGTGATTTTTAAGGACAATTTTTTTCAATGCGTTCTTTTTAAAAATAATTTTAAAAGGATATTCCGACATCATAGGTTGGTTTTTATACCCTACAACATGGTGGTAAGGGTATTATGTCTTTGTGCATTTGTTTGTAACAGGGAGAAGGAAGTGAGATAGGCCCATAGTTACTTTTGAGGATCTTCATAGAATCACTTTCTGAGTCAATTTATTATCGTCGCAGGTCGCATTTATTATCCGATTGAGATAACATTTTTCAAGCAATATTTGGTTGGCCCAAGGGCGAACCGTATTGAAATTGGTGATAATTGGATCAGATTTGAATGTAGCTCCCATATATATTCAACCGATTTCGGGTTAAATGTGCACTCTTGCTCGAATAAATATTTTTATAATATAATCCTAATCGAAGTCCTATCAGGCACTATACAGCAATATTAACGGCCACTAGAGGTACAATAGCCTCTGCCAAATTTGTTGAAAATCGATTCAGAGTTGGATATTGTTCTAGTTGGATAGGGTATCACACATAAGTCGGCCCCGCCCGACTTTTTATCTTTTCTTACTGGTTTACAATATGGATTATTAAGAATATTTTTGGAAGGATATTCTGAGGATATTACGATCTAAAAAGGATATTCTGATTTTTAAATAGGGATAGTTATCCCCGCACGGTATGTTAAAAGGGAAATTCAGACCTACACCAAACTTCCAAGCATGAAATTTAAACAATATAAGTGAGTTGGTCGTCAGACCTCAAAAAGTGGGAATTCCAAAATATAGTCGATAAAGGACTATCAGATTTTATTTGTTTATTATTATTTTTTTTTTTTTTTTGGAAATTGATTAATAATTTTTAAGAATTTATGTGTTTATGACGACCATATCAATCCATGCCAAAGTAATTTTCGGCTTTTTGCCAATATTGCTCTATCTTTAGACCAATTGGTTAAGATATCCAAAAAAAAAAAAACTTGTAATGCAACCTCGAACAAATTTAGCATCCAGACAGTCAATGTTTGCAATAAAATACTAACAAAAAAAGACAACCCGAAAAAAATCGTCTGTTCTTGAATTAATTTCCCATGACTCAGTGGACAAAACGTTCGTCTAAAAATTGTGGCCAAAAATAGCAGCGATTCATTCGCAACGAAATTGAATGTCGAACGAACGAACGACCAATCGTATCAATTGTATATGGTTCATTTAAGGATGTTCTTGTGAGTATTGAAAAAACAAAAATATTCTTCTCAATTGATGTCGCATTGAGGAGAGGAAGTGGTGCTCTCATAAGTCTATGTGCCTTTCATAGCCATTTCGAAATTTTGATTTCGTTTAACAACACCAAGTAATCGATAAATGAAAACAAAACGCATTTCAATACGATTTAAATGTGCATGATTCTTTTCGTTCTTTAACTTAAATTAACCTTTTGCAAATAAACAAACAATTGCATTTGGGTTATTGGCGATAAGGTCTAAAGAATCCCAGAATTATAAAGAAATATTCGAAATCAGTTCACTTAATCAGCAACAACTCAATATTGATATTTGAACAGTCGTCCGTGACAGCTGTGCTTCCATATAAATTCTTTGAATTCAATTTTTTACTCTCAGTTAATTTGGAAATTTTCTCGAGACAAAGACACAATGAAGTTGTTACTTCTTGCGGTCATTGGCGTTCTTGTGCTGGTCCAGGTAATTTAAAGCAAACATCATTTACTCACAAAAAATCGAACTTATGGATATGATTTTTCAGAATTCTCTTGGCATTCCTGCTGTTCATTTCACTGTGGCCAAGCGAAGTGTTGCCGATGGCAAGGATAATTTTAAAGCCATGATGGCTGATGTTAAATCTCGTGTCCAGGCAAATGTCAAGGCCATTCCCGACACGGAAGATTTTGCGAAATATAAAAATGAATTTTCTGAGATTTTAAAAGAATTTGATGAACCAAACGGCAAGGTGGTGTGCAGTGCCAAAATGGTGGCCATATTGGATAAGCTGTACGAAGCGATTAACAAAGTCAAGGCTGATGATACTGAGAATGCGAAGAAAATTCTTGAAATAGCCCGAGCCAATAAGGATGAAAATTTCGGCACCAATTTTAAGGCAGGTCTGGAATATGCAAGACATCCGGAATTGTTTGAAGAGGAATATTGTTAGAAATTTAGCTGGCAATAAAAATAAAGAAGGAAAATCAAAAATTTACGATTATGACAAATACTTGTGATTGATATGGAAGTTTCCAGAAGGACCACAAAAAACAGAAAAGGCTATTCTGCATCGAAATGAGTATTTAAAATCAATATTAAAAAAATATCTATGTATTAGCCGACTCAAAAAAATATTTTTAAAAAAATTGTTTAAGACTTTTCGACGTCAAAATTGAGATTAATCATATTTTTAAATATAAAAAATTCAATACCTAAACCTATATATACCTTGAGACCTCAAAAAATGGATATATAAGCTAACTTATATTTAAACGTGAATTTTTAAAAGGACTTTAGAAGCACCAGCAGTGCTTTACCTGTAGATTTTTTAGAACATTTTTATATTTTCCATATGATATCAAAAATTGGATTTATACAACTTTTTTGAAGGACCGCCGAAACCCTAAATGTGATTTTTTAATTTTTATACCCTACACCACATAGTTATATCTCCCACGTATTTTCAACCGATTTCGAGTTAATTATCCACCAATGGCCAATATAAACCCTAATGTCCTGAATTTTGGTACATTCCACCGAATCTAGTCTAGAAGCAAGTACGTCAAATTTGAAGAAAATCGGATCGGATATTGCTATAGCTCCCATATATATGTTTCATCCGACTTTGTGTTTAAGTTTTTTTTTTTGGAAGGGAACTCTAGTCGTGGATTTTTTAAGAATTTTTAAAAGTATCTGTAAAGGTGAATTTTTGTTAAGAAAGGCCTGGACCCAAACCAGAACTATGGATGTAGATTTTAAAAGGATCTTCAAAAGATCCCATAAGAGTGGATTTTAAGGATTTTTTTGGAATGGTCATCAGATATCTATGCCTGGATTTCTAAATAGACCCTCAGACCTTTTATTTTTTAGACGGACCATAATACCTTAAAAATTGAGTTTTTAAGATTTTAATTTTTGAAGAACCACTAGACCTACAAAATGAGTTTTTAATATTTTAAGAGTACCTTTAAAATGAATTTTAGACCTTTTAATATCAATTTTCAAGATTTTTTTAAATGGACCACTAGATCTCTGGTATTAAATATTTTTTAGATTTTTTACATGGAAACCCCAACCTAAAGACTTGAGTTTTTTAGAAGAACTACGAATATTTTTTTTTTTTTTTTAATTTTCTTACTGAAATATGTATCTTTTATGATTTTTTACATGACCCTTGCCCTTCCAACATAGATCGTTAAAGAATTTTTAGAAGGATCACGAGACTTCTAGACTTGATTTTTTAAGGATTTTTTTGAAAGACCTACAAAACGAGTATTTAAAGAAATTGAAAGGGACTTTTGCTGAGGATTTTTAATATTTTTATTTTTTTAGTATTTGATTTCTTAAGACAGGAACGACAGGACTTTAGATTGAATTTTCAAGAGGAGGATTACCGGATATCTAAATAAAGATTTTTAGGGATTTTTAAATGAACCTCCAGACCTTTAAGCGTCGATTCTATCTATTTTTTTAGAAGTACCTCTTGATATATAAAAAGGGATATTTTACAAATTTTTTTAAAATGGATCTCCACTCTTTTAAAAATGAATTTTTCAAAAGTATAATTATAACTTTCGTTTTAAATTTTTGGTTTTTGAATGTCCTTGAAATAATATTCTTTAAAAATTTAGAATTTAGAAAATTCACATACTGGTTACTTGTAGACCCTTGAAAAAAATTTTAAGAAAATCGAAGTTTTGTTAGACGGAAATTTGTGTCCATTATTATGTTGAATGTATTGGATTCGTTTCAATCGAAATTAAACTGATTTTATTTCTTCTAATCAGATGCGTGGGAAATATTTGACTTGAGTATTCATTATTTTGAAACATTACAGCATTTGATGTGGTGTACCAATCAAATATTTATTTTTTCCAAAAATTTTTGTTACGCCTGAAATGACAGATGTTCCGTTACATCATTAAAATAACATCATTGTTGTCGTGTCCTTAGATCCTTGCAGCACGCAAGAAGTATTATTACAAGCGACAAGTACTTTAAGAGACACAAAAAATTGTACACCATATATCCTGTCACATTGACGCGGCTCTAATGACAGAATAATGTTTTGTCAAGGTTTCCAATTTACATTGAAAAAACAGATTTGAAAAATGGAATGAATACGCCGTGACATGTGTGGACAAAGAGTCACGCTTCTGATTAGAAATTGACGATGGAAACTGTACTTGTAATAAAGAAAGATGTCAATGGCTTAAATTGGAGTGTATGGGAAAATTGAATAGAAATTTTAGACATTAAAATATAGATTTTGGTAGAACTTTTCAGAGGCACAGTCAAAACGTGTGATTTTAATTTTTTTTCCAAAAGGATCATCCGACCTCAATTTTGCTGAACTTTTAGGAAGTAACCAAGCAACATTTGATACAGCCAAAACGTGCACCATCGAAATAACGGTCTTCGGACAAAATCCGTCTAGCGATGTCCGTCCGTCCATCAGTCTGGCTGTTGCGCACGATAACTCTCGAAGGGAGCAACCGATTTGGTCCAAACTTGGTACATCGTAATATTTTTGTCAAACTTAGACCGAGTTTGTAGATGGGCAATATTCGCCCTCTCCTTCTGGTACCTCCCCCACAAACGGTCAAAATTGAATCTCATAAAACACGAAATTAACATCCGATTCCATTCGGACTTGTTATAAAGATGGTAGAGATCGGAACATTCCTTCTGGCTCCTCTCCCACATAGGGCTCAAGATTTTGAATATCAATGCGCCCATAAAACGCGAAATTAGTGTGCGAATCCATTCGACTTTGCACATCTCTATATTTTCATCAACACAAGATCGTTATAAAGATGGGAGGGATCGGACCATTTCATTTAGTACCACTCCCACATAGGCTTCAAGATTTTGAAAAACCAAATGCTCAAAATCTTTTTAAGAATATTTTTCCAAAGGTCCTTCCAACTGCAAATGCAGGATTTTTATATGACGATCAGCCCTTAAAACTTGGATGTTTAAAGAATATTTTTATAATGTCCTTCAAAATATAATATAAGGTTTTTTTTAAGAATATATTTTTGGAAGATCCTCCAGAAATAAAAAAATTGGTTTTTCTAGAAAATATAACAAGGTTATTCCTAATGTAAAACATGATTTTTAGAATAATTCTAGAAGGTTCTGCAAAAATAAAAAGGTTGATCTTTGAAGAATATTTTTAGATGGCTCTTCCGACCTCAAAGCATTGATTTTAGGAGGTCATTCCAACCACAAGACCTGGATGTTTTAAATACTTTAGGAGGTCTTTCCAACAATAAAACGTGGATTTTGTTTAATTTTTTGAAGGTTATTCTAAGCATAAAACATGGATTTTTTAACCTTCAAACTAGGATGTTTTAGGGATTAAGAAGATTCTTTCGATCTTAATACGTGGATTTTTTAAAGAATATTTTATAAGCTTCTTCCAATCCTAAAACGTGGATTTTTAAAGAGCATCCTTTTGAAGAATGTTTTTAAAGGACCCTTTCGACATCAAAGCCAGGATTTAGACTAACCGCAAGACGTGAACTTTAAATACAATTTGGAGTGTGTACGACGAATTTCATTAGGATCATTTAAACTATTTTAGAAGGGTCATCCGACCTCTAATCAATGATTTTTTGAGAATATATTATCGGAAAATCCATCCAAAAGAACCCCGCACCTCAAATTTGAATGTTTTTAAGATTTTTAAAAGGACTTTCCGATTTCAAAACATGGATTTTGTTTTAAAAAATTTTAAAAGGATAACGAGACCTCTAAACTTTATTTTTTTAGAATTTATTTTTAGAGAACAATCCCAGCTTTAAACTCGATTTTTAAGGACCCTCAGATCTTAAATCGTATATTTTTAAAAGAATTCATAAGCTACCTTTAAACCTTACAGGTTACACTTCATGAAATTTAAATAATATTTTAAGACCAGAGTGGTTTTGTTTTTATACCCTACACCACAAGGTGGTCAGGGTATTATGTCTTTGTGCATTTGTTTGTAACAGGCAAAAGGAAACGAGATAGACCCATAGTATCTTTTGATGATCTGCATAGAATCACATTCTGAGTCGATTTATGCATGTCCGTCCGTCCGTCTGTCCGTGTATTTTTGTAAACAAAGTACAGTTCGAATTTATTGTCCTATCCAGATGAAATTTTGCACAAATCATTTGTTTGGCCCAAGGACGAACCCTATTGAAATTGGAGATAATCGGTAAAAATTTATATATAGCTCCCATATATATCTTCGTCCGATTTGCATTTTATTGTGCACCAAACGTGTAATATCAGTCCAAATAGCATGGAATTTTGCACGTACGATCAGATTGGAAATAAGTATGCCAAATTTGATCGAAATTGGTTCAGATATAGCTATAGCTCCCATATATATAGTTCATCCGATTTGTTATTTTTGTCCTCCGCAGCCGTAATATGCACTCTGTAACAACAATATATGGGGAAATATATCAAATGCAGCTCAGAAATACCTTTGCTAAATTTTATCGAGATTGGTTCAGATTTGCTCCCATATATAGCTCCCACATATAACTTCGTCCGATTTACCTTTGATTGTGCACCAAACGTCTAATATTTGCCCAATTGGGATGAAACTTGGCACTTACGACCGAATTGAGTCTAAAAGCTAGTATTTCAAATTTGGTGAAGATCGGTTCAGATATAGCTATAGCTCCCATATATACTGTTCATCCGATGTTTCATATTTATTACCCACAACCGTAATATGCACTCCATAACAACGATAATCAGGGAAATATATCAAATACAGCTCAGAAATATCTTTGCCAAATTTTATCGACATCGACATTTTCAAATAAATTGTGCACCAAATGGACAATACAAGTCCGAATTTAAAATATACAAATGCTTCGGCATATTTAGTCCTTTTAACTTTAAATTATAATTATAATCATAGCGTGTATGATTGAAATCTCCCATAAAAACTTTTGATTGTTATGCGCAGCTCTACTAAATTAGCAAAGTGGTGTAGGGTATCATAAAGTCGCCCCGCCCGACTTTAAGACTTTCTTTACTGGTTAAATCTAATTTTTTCCTGGGACCCCAATTCGAAAAGTGGCTAAAAGATCAGTTATGGAGATCCTCAAACCTAAATATTTAATATACAGGATGAGATAAAAAAAAAACTGGAAC